AATAATAATAATAATAATAATAATAATAATAATAATAATAATAATAAAGTAAAGACATTTTGATCCATGTCATGACACGTAGAATTTTCCTAGGCAGAGCATCTCCGGAGTATTCACCAACTTTGACATGAATGGACTAAAATAGAGTTACACCTGACTATCCTGACTTTTCAAGTCTAGTGATATAAAAGTAAGGAATTGTTACCAATTTCCAAAAGCTTTATCTACTCAGAGCTCACAGCAACCTCATTTTAGGATGCTTTGTGCTTTTATCTGCCATCTGTATTCATTCTCCACTTTGCATTGCCCTAGTAAATTGTTTTAAAATAAACCTGTTTAAAAAAATGTTGAAAAGAATTTAAAGACTTTGAAAAACATGTTTTGAAATGAAACTGTTAATTTAAATTTAATTGGCAAAGTTTGCAGTAGATTTGCTGTTTTCAAAGCTCCAAAAATGTATATTTAAACGTGAGATGTTTATAATCTCAACACAAAATGAGAACAAATACTAAGCAATGATATGATGTATTAACAGTGATTCAAGTAAAAGAGAAATTGATAACCGTTGACCTTCTTAGTCCTCACGAATCTCAGGTAATGCCAATTATCTCTGCTTGGCACAGGAAACAAGAATATGTTCAGCTTCAGTGGTTTTCTCAAGGTCACATTCAAGGTCATGGAGCTAGAAAGGGCACTTCTGGGACATGAGAATTTGCTGATTGTAGATCTAGTGTTCCATTAATTACAACATAATTGAAAGAGAAGCAAATTCATTTCGCATTCAGAAGAATCAGTCGATCACAAATAGTGGATTAGTGATGATATTGCAATGCATGCCATACGCCATACTGTACTTTTTCCACTTCCATTTTTCTAGGAACTAGGAAGTTTACATGAAGTAGGAGAAAGCGGGTAAGTACACATTTGTAAACATCAAGAGCAAGATAACATACAGTGTCTACATTTAGTAATCCTGCAAATTTTAGAAACAGGAAAAATTTACATAGTTCTTGAAAAAATTTAATTAAAATGGATTGATTATAGCTGATTTGGAAATACTGAAACCTTGTATAATAGTGAGAATCTCAAATGTGGTGCAGTTTATGGGAAACAGTGTAAACGTGCTTCACTAACTTTAAATGTTTGCTTTCGAGATCTCTCGCCTTCTACTGGGTAGAGTAGAGCCTTGTCTAGCATTAATATTAGAGGATGTACCTAATCTTGTTATAACTTGATATGCTCTATTTAGGTGATATTCTGGGAAGGCCTGCTCTCTTCTGAAGGGAAATGGATGCTGAGTGGATCAGGTGGAGAGCGGAGGTGCAGGGAGGGGTTGGAAGTGCAGCAGGGAGAGGAACCTGCGGTCAGGGTGTAATACATGAGAGAAGAATAAATATAAAAAAATTAAAATGCTCTCATAGGATCCTGCAATCTCATTTCTGGATATATTATAAAAATGTAATGAAGTGAGAATTTTCATTTTTTAATATTTTAATTTTTAATATGTATTAATTGTAGTTTATTCCCTTTGTATCCCAGCTATAGTCCCCTCCCTTATTCTCTCCCAATCCCACCCTCCCTTCCTCATCTCCTCCCATACCCCTTTTGTTTCATCTGACCTTAGCCTATCAGGTCTCATCAGGAATAGCTGCATTGTCTTCCTCTGTGGCCTGGCAAGGCTGTTCCCCACTCAGGAGGAGGTGATCAAAGAGCCAGCCACTGAGTTCATGTCAGAGACAATCCCTATTTTCTTTATCAGGGTACCCACTTGGAGACTGAGCCGCCATGGGCTACATCTGAGCAGGGGTTCTAGGTTATCTCCATGCATGGTCCTTGGTTGGAGTATCAGTCTCAGAAAAGACCTCTGGGCCCAGATTATTTTGGTTCTGTTGCTCTCCTTGTGGAGTTCCTGTCTCCTCTATGTCTTTCTATCTTCCCCTTCTTTCATTAGATTCCCTGCATTCTGCCTAAAGTTTGACTATGAGTTTCAGCATCTGCTTTGATACCCTGATAAGTAGAGTCTTTCAGAGGCCCTCTGTGGTAGGCTCCTGTCCTGTTTCCTGTTATGTCCCTCTTCCAATGACCTTCCCATTTACCTTTCTGAGTAAGGATTGATTATCTTACCCTGGGTCCTCCTTGCTTAGCTTCTTTAGGTGTAAAGATTTTAGTATGTTTATCCTATATTATATGTCTAATATCTACTTATAAGTGAGTATATACGTGTGTGTCTTTCTGCTCCTGGGACACCTCACTCAGAATGATCTTTTCTAGATCCCACCATTTGCCTGCACATTTCATGATTCCCTTGTTTTTAATTGTTGAGTAGTATTCCATTGTGTATATGTATCACAATTTCTGTATCCATTCCTCAGTTGAGGGGCATCTGGGTTGTTTCCAGGTTCTGGCTATTTTGAATAAAGCTGCTACAAACATTGTTGAGCAAATGTTCTGGTTGTGTACTTGAGCATATTTTGGATATACACCCAGGAGTGGTATAGCTGGATCTTGAGGAGTAGTGAAACCAGTGATTATGTGCTGTTTTTACTAAAAAAAAAAAGCATTCAGTCCTTATTTTACATTGTAATTGAAAGTCATATGCAAGGTTACTATAGCTGCTTTCATTCTGTGTCTGTACTTGTTGGAAGGCACAGAGATAAACCATGGTCCTTAATCTTGTCACTTTAATTACCTTTAATTTAAGGCTGAACAAAGGTTCTCAGGAGAGACCATCCCTTCAATTATCTGTGAAGGTGAGCCTGTACCCTCAGTGATTAAGCATTTAACAACTTACAGTACTATCTCTTAAAACAGCAAGCACTGGAACAATGAGAGCTCACTGATGGATGGGGCTTTGGCTAGAATTGTTTACTTGTATGTATTGCCTTTTGTCTTCTGTGTTAACCTAGAACTCATGTCAGTCCTGTGAAAATAAACTTGGTGTCACTGGATCTCATTATCCGTTCCTCATCCTACTGTGTTCATCTTCTTTTTTCCCCTTTACCATTACTGTGTCTTTAATTGGTAGCCTGGTGAACTGGTGGGCTCCTTCAAGGGGCTGCCACAAAATTCTCCTATGCTCCCAACTTCACTGACTAATTTTTAAAATCTGCCAAAGACATTTTAAAAAAAATCAAATCTCTGTGTGTCAATGAGTGGGTAAAAACCACTGTGTATATGACCAATGCAGTATCATTTGGCTTTAGAGAAAAACATTCTGTCATATATGACAACATGGATGAATCTGGAATTCATTTTAGATGGTGGAATAAGCCACTTACAGAAAAACAAATATTGCATTATTACTCATATCTGATGTATCTAACACAGTCAAATTCATACAACAAAGGGGAGTTTATTTGGGTTGTCAGAGGTGACAGAGGGGCAATGGTGAACATACTTGATGCTCAAAAACCATCCAGTTCCCATTGCAATGATGAGTTTCAGAGATATGTATGACATTATGCTTACAAGTGAGTACTTAATATTCCAGACCCGGAAAGAGCAATTCCCATCTTCTTATAAAAATAAAAATAAAAATGAAAAGCCTAGGTTACCTAAAATAAACCTACACAATAAAAGAACTTCTGATCACTATCCCTGATTTCAAGTCGTAATACAAGGTGATAGTAATAAAAACTGCATGGTATTGGCATAAAAGCAGACAAGTAGATCAATGGAATTGACTCACAGACCTGGAAATAAACTCACACACCACGGAAATTCAATTTTTGATAGAGAAATCAAAACCATAAAATGAAAAAGAGAAAGCATCGTTAATGAATGGTGATGGTCTAACTGGTTTTCTGTATGTAGAAGAATGCAAATAGATCTATATTTATCACTCTGCACAAAACTCAAGTCCAAATGGAGCAAAGACTTAAACATAAAATTAGATACACTAAATCTAATTGAAGAGAAATTGAATAAGCTTGAACTCATTGGTACAGAAGATCACATCCTGAACAAAACACCAACAGCTCAGGCAGTAAGATCAACAATTAATATATAGCACTTTATGGAACTGCAAAGCAAAGGACACCATGAGGTAAGTAAGGCAAAGGACATTGTCAATATGATGAAATGGCAGCCTAGAGAATAGGAAAAGATATTCACCAACCCTACATCTGTTAGAGGGATGATATCCAAAATATATAAAGAACTCAAAAAATTAAACACAAACAAACCCAATAACCCAATTAAAAAATAGGTTATAGAGCTAAACAGAGAATTCTCTACAGAGGAATCTCTAATAGCTAAGGTCTGCCTTAACTGTCAATCATAATAGATGAAAAAATAAGACATTCCATGAAAAAACAAATTTAATCAATATCCATCTACAAATTCAGTATTATAGAAGATATTACAGAAGGAAAACTCTAACCTAAAGAGGTTAACTACACCCAAGATAAAACAAGAAATAAATACTTGCAAACCAGAAAATCAAAAGAGGGGGAAATGAAGGCGTGTGTGTGTGTGTGTGTGTGTGTGTGTACACATACACACACCATACAACAAATCAATAGGAATCAACAAGTACTGTTCATTGATACCTCCTAACATCAGTTGTCAATTCCCCAATAAAAAGATACTGGTAGATGGATTTGAAAACAGTACCCATCCTTCTTCTGGGTCCAATAAAAATGCCTTCATATCAAGTATAGACATTGCTTCATGATAAAAGGACAAAAAAAGATATCCTAAACAAATTGGACCTAAGAAGAAAGCTGGTGTAGCCATTTTAATATCTGATAAAATACATTTTAAACCAAAATTAATCAGAAGTGATAGAGAAGCAAGCCAAGAGGAAATTACATTTCTTAACGTTTATGTACCAAACATATGGCTCATAAAAGAAGCACTACTACAGCTTAAATCACATACTGACACTCAACAGTGATAGTTGGAGACTTCCATATCCAATGTTGCCAATAGACAGGTCATACAGACAAAAACTAAACAGAAAAATGCTGGAATTAACTGATGTTAGAAGCCAAATAGACTTAACAGATATTTCTAGGACAGGACATTTCACCTAAACACGAAAGAACTTCCTCTAAGCACTTCATCGAATCTTCTCCAGCACTGGCAACATACTTAGACATAAAGCAAGTTTCAACTTATGCAAGAGAATTAAAACAACACCCTGCATCCTATCAAACCACCAACGATCAAAGCTGGATAACATCAACAACAGAAACAAGAGAAAACTTACAAACTCATGGAAAGTGAAGAACTCTCTATTGACTGAGAATTGTTTCAAGACAGAAATTAAAGACTTGCAAGAATTGGATGAAAATGAATACACAACTTAACTTATGAGACACCCTAAAGGTAGTTCTAAGAAGAAAGTTACAGCACTAAGGGTCTACATTTAAAGAAAAGAAAAGAAAAAGAGCGATCTCATACCAATAACTTTTAATAGCACATGTGAGGCCTCTAGACAAAAAAGAAGTCATACATAAAAAGAGTAGACAGAAAGAAATACAAAACTCAGGGCTGAAATTAATAAAATAGAAACAAACAGAAAAACCAGTGCAAAATATCAACGAAACAAAAAGATGATCCCTTGAGAAAATTAATAATATTAACAAACCCTTATCCAAATTAACTGAAAGGTGGAGCAAGAATATTTAAATTAACAAATTAGAAATGAAAAGGGACATAACAATTTATATCAATAAAATGCAGAGAATCATGACAATATCTTTAAATACCTGTACTCCACCAAATTAAAAAATCTAAAAGAAATGGATGATTTTCTCCAGTCATACCACTTACTAAAGATAAATCATGATCAGATAAGCAATTTAAACAGACATACAACCCACAGTGAAATACAAGCAGCCATTAAATTCTCACTGCCCCACCCTCAACAAAAGCCTAGGACCAAATGGTTTTATCACAGAAATCTACCAGACTTTGAAAGAATATATACCAAACCTCGAAAAAATATTCCAACAAATAGAAATAAAAGGAATATTGCCTAATTCATTTTACAAGGCCACAGTTACCCTGATACCCAAACTACATAAATACCCAACAGAGAAACAGGATTACAGTTCAGTTTCCTTTATGAACACAGATGCAAATATACTCAATAAAAATGCTTGCAAACTGAATTCAAAAAAACACAAAAAATCATATACCCTGATCAAATAGGTTTTATTTCACAGATGTAAGAATGGTTCAATATACGTAAGCTGATAAACACAACCCACCATATAAACAAATTCAAAGAAAGGAACCATATAACCATCTTCTTAGATTCAGGAAAAGGCCTTTGACAAATCCAACACCTCTTCATGTAAAAAGTTTCTAGTCAGATTAGGAATACAAGGGCCGTATCTCCCTCAGCATAATAAAAGCAGTTTACAGCAAGCACATAACTAACATTAATATACATATATATTTATATTAGTGTTTGAATGATTTTTAAATTTTTAAAATTTATTTATTTTATTAATGACAGTTTATACACTTTCTATCATAGCTGTAGCCACTCCCTCTTCCCCTATCAATCCCACACTCCTTCCTTCATCTCCTCCTGTGTCCACTGATAGGGGAGGTCCTCCTCCCCTTCCCTGTGACCCTAGCCTATCAGGTCTCATCAAGACTGGCTGCATTGTCTTCCTCTGTGGCCTGGTAAGGTTGCTTCTTACTCGGGGGAGGTGAAAAAGAGCCAGCCACTGAGTTTATGTCAGAGACAGCCCCTGTTTCCCTTACTAGGAAACCCACTTTGAGACTGAGCTGCCATGAGCTACATCTGTACAGGGGTTCTATTGTTATCTCTGTGCATGGTCCTTGGTTGGAGTGTCAGTTTCAGAAAAGACTCCTGTGCCCAGATTGTTTGGTTCTGTTGCTCTCTTCACAGACAGACATTACGCCAAGAACGTTTAGACCTATATGGGATATCTCCATCAAATCTCCCCCCCCCACACACACACCACCAGATCTCTGAGAACTGTGTGGGGAGGGAGATGAAAAGATTGTAAGGGTTAAAACAGATAGAGGTCTCACCCAGAAAACAAGTCTCTCTAGATAAATACTGTGCTTTTCTTGTGTTCTTTTCCTTTTTCCTCCCGTTTGTTTGTTTGCTTTGTTTTGTGTTATTCCACTGTGTTAATTTTTGTTCTATCTTATTATATTATATCATAATATTATATTAAAATGTGTTAGTCCTTAGAAGTCTATTTATTTTCTATTGAGAGAAAGAATGTGGGCGGATCAGAGGAAGTAGAGGTGGGGACTTGGAGAAGTAAAGAGGGGAACTTCATCAAGGCATATTATGTGAGAAAAAAAAATTCTATTTTCCATAAAAGGCAAAAAACTCACAGAAAAGAAATATGACTGGTTGTTTATATATTGTCTGTCTATAATAAGCTGACCCATATCTTCAGCTGCTTATTATTTCACTACTTTGTAACAAACAAAAAGGAAGTTAATATGATAGTAATATGAATCAGCACAAAACAAAACAGTCTCTTCCCTGCCTGCCCACCAGGATAACAGCAAGGACTCAGTTACGTCTGACACCTTGAATGGAAAATTTCAGTCTCAAAATTTTGAAAGTCAAGATATTCAGTGCTGCTTATCTTGGTTTAGAATAGAAAGTCTGACAAGCTCGTAATTATAGTGTGACAGTAATGGTGGTAATATAATACCAGAAATAACAGAATTGAAGAGTTTGTTAATTCCTTTTAAAATACTCCTTGTACTAAAGATTAAAAAATATTTATTCATAAAAAAAGCCTAGGTCCGTCCACTGCTACAAAATCAGCAGAGAAAGTAAACTTATTACCTTTTGTGTACATTTCTAAATTTTTTTTTTTTATTTTTAACTTCGTTTTGATCAAGGGAGTTGTCTGTATCTTAATGTAAACTATATAAAGTTTGGAAATTATGAGAATGTTCTCCATGAATCTATCTAATCTAATCTAATCTAATCTAATCTAATCTAATCTAATCTAAGCAGTAGCTTTCTTTTTCATATAATAGAGCCTTACTATAGTTTCACCTTCCTCAATGCCTCCCAGTTCTTCCCTTCATTCTCTCTCCTTCAGATCCGTTTCCTTTCTGTCTCTCAAAAACAAAGAAGAGGCATCTATTTGTTAATACTTTGCAAAAGAAGAGTTTTCTTTCCAAGACACTTTTGAACTCAGAGGATAACTCACAAAATAGTATGGAGGAAAAAAACCCAAAAGAAGCAGAGAAGGAGAGGGTTAAAGTTGAAGTTTATACAGGATGTGTTCTTAGGGTCAGCGTGATTCTTTACATCCCCGAAACAAACCTATGTTTGGATCATATATTTTTGCTCTTCAGTGCTTGTCTTGAAAACAAGTGAATTCAGAGATTTCAAATCAAGGAGTTTGGTTATTCAACTTCAGTGCAATGGAGATACGTAAGGTCTAGGCAAAATATATATATATAAATGTTAATATTTTGAAGAGAAATATGGAAACTAGTATTTATTGATCCTATATAATTTTATTTTGGCACAAGCTTTTAGTATGTACTTCCTAGTAGCAAGGTCATTACAAAGAGATTGACAAAATATAGAGTTTTGACGAAGGGAATCTCTTTTTTTTAAAAAAAGAAATGTTTAATTATTTATGTATATGTTTGTGGCCTGACTGTATGCATATGAAGCATTGTATGTGGGTGTCTTTGGGAGCCAGAAAAAGGTATCAGATTCACTGGAGCTCAAGTTAAATGTGGTTGAGCCAAACTCAGGCCCTCTGCAAAGAGTAAGGCTTTTAACTGCTGAGACCCGAAAGGAATTCTTTGTGTTTTGAACTTGATCATATAGGGTTAAATTCATTATTATACTTGTGGTGAAAAATAATGCATTGTTCGTAAGAATAATTCTTTCCTATTTCTAATCTTATGTCACTCTATTCTTAAAAAGTTAATCATATTTTTGATATAGTATTGATTTTTGTTAAACCCCATTTCGCTGGTATTTTTAGATTATGTAACACACACTAGAAAAATAAATTTAGCAAAGAGATAAAAACTCTTGGAACATATCCAAAAGAATTTGCATGTAAAACTATCAAAGTGACATTTTAATAGAGCTTCTGGTGTAAGAAAAACAAAACAAAACACACAGAGAACAGTGCTGTATTATTTACCTCCACCGTCCATAGACATCTGCCCTTTCACCAAGCAGGTCAAATACCTGGGATAAGTTTCTTCATAGCTCACCTTACTTGACTTTCATTCATTGTAACTAATCCGTAGAAGAAAACACACAGGCCAACAACTGCTGCAGGAATCAACATTCCAGTATACCATCCCAGCCAGGCGAAGTATAGACCAATCTTCTCACCAAAGTATAGCCTGCACAAAAAGCCAGTCTTCAGTTGGATTGATGTGATATAAAGGAGCTGACCATCTCCAATGCCACACACAGTGAGGTTTTCAAATGTAAACTGAGGCTGCCAGCCTAGGTGATTGTCAGCAATATTCAGATATCTGATACTCCTGGATGTTAATAAATCCCATTATGATAATGACGCTTTTTGTTTTTTTCCTGTAAACGTGGTCACTGTAGAGACAACACAAGACCAACTTTCAACAGTACCTGTTTCTACTCCAACTTTCATAAAATGGTTTCGTGATCCAATCCTTGCCCTGTTTTATCCTCCTAATAGCCTACCTTTTTAGTCTGTACCTAGCAAAGCTTCTTTTTTAACGAGTATAAAAGAAAAGAAAAAAAAATATTATTTGACCTTTTGGAGTCTCAGTTCAGGGCAAACTGGCACACTTGGTCAGACATGTTCATGCTATAGTCTGCAATGCTACATCTCGTCTTCTTCTATCAAAGCTCTATCTTGCTCTCCAAAGCACATTTCCTGTATCACTGGTCTCTAAATAAATTCAACAAAACAAAACAAAAAACTCCTTCTGTAACTGGTATTTGTCTTTGTCTTCACATGGCTTCTTCCAGGAAGCTTCTCCTGACTCACTCTCCAGTCCTTGCAATGTGTCTGTGCCCTTGTTCCCACGCTGCCCTAAACCATGCTCTAATTAGTGTCATCAGTCACGATGCCTTCTAATAACTCTCCTTCATTTCTCAATTACTTGTTACCTCCAAAACATTTTAAGCTTCAAGAAGGTAGTGTGCCTTGCTTCACGAGCAGATACTATTAGAAAAATAAAAGAAGCTAAAGGAATTGATACAGTTTATTGATATTCAGTTGATAAAGAAGTGGCAGATTAATGAGGTAGTTCTAAGATCTACTCAATTGTTCTTTCCTCACCCACTCCAATGCTGGTTTTTATAGTCCTGTAATTTATAATGCTCTGGTAGAAATAATTTTACATTTCCCTATTTTCCTACTACTGTGAAGACTCCATTTTCTAAAACTAGTTACTTAACTCAACCCCAACCCACTCCAACTACAGGGTTAAAGACTGATGCTTCACAGTTCTTGTTGTTGGGAAGAAAATTTATTTATTATTTTTCATTAAGAAGTCTTCACTTTCTGCTTGTGAACAATGGGATACTTTCCTAATAATGAGGATAGTGGGCTTCAGAGACCAACCTGCCCATAACACCCTAACACATTAAAACTGCATTTTGTTGAAGCTTAATATAAGCAATATTTTTGGACTAAAATATGATTTAAGTCAAATCAGATTTCAATGTATGTCAGGAGATGAAGGACCTAGCTACAGACAAAGAAAGATGACCTTACCCTAGAACAGGATTTTACAATCATCTATAATACTTAATTATTCCTTAAGGTACACCAAAACCCTGCAGAGGAAAGAGAACAATTCCCCACTGCTGCTCAACCAGAGCATTCTTTTTGTGTTTCTTTTATTTAAAGTTTCCCTTGCGACATTTCAGTTTATGATCTGTCACCTGCTGAAATAACTTACATCTCAAAGCAAACCTTGACATCTTTGATCTTAGAAATAATTTAATTCAACAACTTTGTTCTCAAAATTTGAATTCCTCTGATACCTATTGTTAAAATTGTTTGAAATGTCATACCACTGTTTTTGCAACTAACGATTGGATGTACTCCATTGGATGTCAAATAGTTGCCATGGGAAATTATATTGAAACTAAATAAGCTTTAGCTATTAAGTACTTGACTCAATTTAAAAATAATATAAATACATCTTCAGAAATGATTGCTCATTTAAAGGAAAAAAAAAGATGAATTGACAACTTTTGGCTTTCATATATTGCGATAAGGCATTTCCTTACTCAACATGACAATACCAGAGTTGCCTGCAGAAAACCCGTTAGCTATGATCAAAAGAAACCAACTATCACACACCATTTCTCTTTCATTATTCAAAGGAATCAGCACAAAGACCGATGCACAACTTAATCACAAAGAGTTAATGTTCTGGAGCACTGTGCCTTGTACAAAATGGATGCATGAGCTTACGTGGGTTAACCCGAATATCTTCCACATCACTGCTTCTGTTTTAGTCACCGCTGAGTTCCCAGGAAGTACTATCTACTGAAATATCACCTTTAACTCCTTTATTACATCCCCTTCTTCTGGTGGTCCTTTCATAGTGCATCATTACTTAGTCACTTTAACTAACACATGTTTTTATTTATTTATATTTTTCAGGAAAAATTCTCTTCTCTATAAGTCATCAAACAATAGGCGTTGGATAACCCTAGATGTTAGTAATGGAAACCCATTTATTCAAAATATAGTGTTTGCTGAAGCAAGAATAGCAATGTCATCTATAGACAGAAATGGCTACTCACATTGAAATGCTAACTCAAAAACCATCGTCTTAGTTCCTAATAAGTATTTTTGTGAACCAACACATCTCACTATATAGAATCCATAAATTTCCAAAACAATACTCTTTTTACCTTTATAAATTAGAATAATGGTGTTTGCTATGGTTGCTAGAACATATGGCTAGTTGTGGATATACTCAACTACTAACATTTGCTGCATATTCACGCCGTGTATCTCCAAGCGATTACACCACTTACTACCATGTGTCCCTAGAGTTCACCCTTATCTGCAATTTTAAAAAACTCTGTCTTCTGGACAGTCTTTTTTTTTTCAAGATGTATCTGATAGGTGGATCCCTTTATCTTGGGTCATTAGTTGTCTGCAGCTGCTGTCTTCCTCAGGTCACAGCTTGTATCTGGCGCCTCTTCCCATGGTTAGTCATTAGTTGCTTATGGCAAGTCCTTTCTCCTCTGCATCTTTTAAGATCAGGTTTAACAATTGCTTCTAGTTTCTACTCTTCCCTGCGCATGTAATTATGTGTTGTCTCTTATGATCCTACTTTCCATTTCTATATATAATTCTTTACTGACTTCTCTTCAAGCACACCTTTAGTGTTCTGCTTCCTGCTGGCACAGACTGAGAGTGTTTTAAGCTGCTTCATATTTATTCTATAAACAGATAAAAGTTTCAACACATATAGACTGATAATATGAATTTGTTTTTCTTTTATTCTGTAGATATGCATCATTAGCTGATGAATCAAGATCGCGTACTATATACTTTTTGTATAAACAATGTTTTCTTCACTAAAATAAATTACATAAATCAAACTTAAATATTTGAAAAATGATACTGAAGTCGGGCATGGAAATACATTACTTTCATCTCAGCAGAGGTAGGTAGAGCTTGTCAGTTCGAAGCCAGTCTTACTTACACAGTGAGTTCCAGGCCACTCAAGGTTATAAAGCAAAACACCTTCACCAAATAATAGATGATAGGTGTATAGATGTCAGGTGATAGATAGATAGATAGATAGATAGATAGATAGATAGATAGATACATACATAGATACATAGATACATAGATACATAAATACATAGATGATATATATATATATATATATATAAATACATATAGATAGATATATAAATGATAGACGGAGATAGGTAGACAGACAGACAGATAGATGAGTTAATAGCAACTACCAATAAGAAAGTACTTTCTTGAAAAGATAAAACACCTTTTGAAAGTCAAATGTAGCCAGTCCTGTGTATCATTAACGTCTACACCTACAGATTCTGGCATCCATAGATTGAAATGGTTGTGCCCATACTAAGCATGAATGTTCTATTTTTATTGCCATTCATCCTTAAATAACACATAATAGCAACCCTTTCCCTAACATTCACATTGTATTAGTTATTGGGAAAACTTTCGGCATGATTGGAAATATGCTGAATTATATGTGGAGTTTTTGTGCAAGCACTACACGGTTGTATAGAAGGAATATTGACACTGTGAAGTGTGGTATTTGAGAAGAGTTTTGGAACTAACCACTTGTGAATACTAACAGACTACCATGTATGCACAGGTTCTGAATTGGCTGTTTTCCTATCAACCTTCATAGCTGTTGAGTGCTTCCCTTTGTTTTGATTTTTAAGGTAGTCAATTGTTCTGTAAAATACTTATTTGTATTGTAAAATACTTATGATGAAGTTAGACAAGGAGATACGAAGAACGTATAACCCAGGATAATTTTCCTTTTGTTGGTATTACCAACACCTGGTACTTGGAATGCATAATATACACCATGTAATTTCCCTTTTACCCTTTAGGGTGATAGTCAATTTCTGCTGTTAACAGTCTCTGATTGGTTTAATGGTTCTTCACATCCATTGTGTAGCCAATTCCCTGCACTGAGTTCCTTCCACTGAAAAACCATGCAGTGGTTTCTTTTCTGCAGATTGTTTTCTAACTACTGTGATAAGAGTAATTCCAAGGCCAGGAAAATGACAAAAGAACAGTTAGCTACTTCTTACCAACCAGTTCATCTGCAGTACCTGATTAAGTCCAGAGGCTGATGCTTGTACCACATTCCCCAGCGTGCCCAGCGCTCATACAACAGATGTCTGTTATTCTGAGGTCCATGGGTTTTGATGGGAAGGCTACTCTTGTAGGCCCCCTGAGACAGATAAAATAACATAGATTAGAGCCCATTCTCTTACCAAAGTTTGAACTAAATAAGGATTACTATATCCCTAGCAAGGTAATTTATCAACTTAATGAAATCAGTAGAGATTGAATACTCAAGCTCACCACTGGAATGGTAGATGCCATTATCACTGGAAATATGATAGTTCTATAGCAATAATGTTTTGAATATTTTTCAAATAAGTTGGGCCTATTTTATTTAAGAAAAGAGAGTATATATTTTATTTTCTGGAATTCAGTTTCTTTTACTTAAAATAACATTATTATTGACAATATCAGTTGTTCTGTATTGTAATCTTTAATTGAGGAACTGAATAGCGTTTTGCTTTAAGAAGTGAGCTAGACACATGAGTTTTCTTTTACTTACAGATGTTACAAAAATAAATGCTGACTTAAAAGTATGGTGTTATAACCTTTAGAGCCACCTATGTGTTTAGACCCTAGGGTCCTAAAAATTTATGTCAGATATTTCAAATTTTAAGTAGTTAAAACATAACTTTTCTTTCAAAAATTTTTATGTGGGTTTCTTGTGGTTGAGGGTTCCCCAATCACTAGGGCTGAGAGTCTTTATGAAGCTTTCTTGACAACTTGAGCCCTGGTTTTCAAGTGTCTCAAGCTTGCAAAGAGATAACATATGTGCATGTCATCTCTGACTCTTTAATAAAACAGAAAAAAAATAGTTAGGGCAAGAGTGACACACATTCAAAGTGCAAGCCCAAGGTATCCTTCCTAAAATAGCCCAAGTATTTAAGGCCTAATGATTGGAAATTAAGAGAGGAGAGAAAAAAAATCTTTATTTCAAGTGGAGCATATCCACTGGAGAAGAATGCTTGCTTTTGAAACTATATTGCTGTCTGCAAAGTCACCACACTTTTGCAGTCAGTGGTGGTAAATCCTATACATGGTATTCATCCAGCCTCTGTGGTCAGACCATATAAATGTCTACGTGCTAAAGTTTAGGATGCCTGGGAAACCACTGTGCACCAGACACTTACCAACAAGAACCACACTGCTCTAGCTTGACACTGACAGGTGGTGGGCTGCAAGGGAAAGCTGGCTAAAGAGATAACTGCCCTCGACTCATGCACTTGTGAGCCGCTCTGAAAGATCAGACATCACCAGTGTCCCTAACCAGATCTTTGCTTGACCCTGTCTCCATGATCCATCCTTAAAAAAATACATATATTTGCCTGATGTTTTACAAAAAAAAGTATTTCTCATACATATACACCTCTGGCCCATTTTCTTTACCCTTTCCTGTCAGTTCTCACTAAAATGATTTGTTACTTTGCTCTAACTGTTGTCAGTTTTGTAAGAGGAAAAAAAATCCTCTTAACTAGGAATAAAGATTATGAGACTGGACTTAATATCCTACATCAATCAAAAAGAAAGACATAAATTTTAAAGTATCCTTATCAGACTGTAGAGTAATATTATTGACTATAATTTCTTCTTTATAAATCTTGATTTTTATCCCATGAGTAAATAGTAATTCTAGTCAATAGACATTTCCTAAGCCCATTTTTACTGTTTTGCAGTTATTTTCAACATATTGACAATTCACCCAATTGTACTTCTTATTCTTTTGGTGTATATGCGTTATGAATTTATATTTCAAATAATTTATATACGTAAATTAAAATGATTGTCATCAACAACCCAGCTATGGCAGCCGGCAGATTTCCAATGAAAAAAAATCAAGTGAGTTGTCACTGCACAAGCTCATTTTGTAGAGAAAATGACTGTACCAAGAGAATAAACTAAATCTCCCTTTGCTAAATTAGTCCCTTAGATGTGCTTCTCTGATCACTTAGCTACTTACTATTTGGTATTTGAAATGGTGTTTAATTTTTCTAAGCTGTATTCCTTTATATATAATGAGAGAATAACATTCCCTTCCATCTGTGTTGTCATAATCATGGGAAAATATGTGTTGGCTCACAAGATGAATCATATGAACAAATTGCTCATGATTACTGCCTGTTTTTTATTGTACATGGCATTATGTGGAGATCATTAACTTTTGGCTTCCTATGATTATAACTGCCTTTGATATTTTACTTCTTGTAACTGGATTATATACGTTTATAATGGAATTATTATTATTGTCACTAACATAGTGCTTTTCTCAAATGAGAAATAATCCACCTAGAACATTTAACTCATTAGCAAATACATTTCCAATTCATTTTATTTATTTATTTCCAATTCACTTATTTATACAGAGCTGCAGATTTTTCATGTGACCTAACTTTTGAGCTCATGGCTAAAACTGTGTAAATAAAGGAATAATGGTTTTTGAAAGTACAGAAAAGAAAATCATAATTTATTTTAAGATGTGAAACAAGTTTAAGAGACATAATTCAAGGATATGCCTAGCAGCGGCTAATGAGGAGTTCCATAGATGCTGTACTAGTTGGTAAGCGCTATCCATGGCAACTTGTAGCAAGGCAATAATCTGGCTTATTAACAAGGGAGGTAATATATGGAGGTAATACATGACTTTCGGGAGTTCTGAAATAAGAACTACAAGCCGGAAACCTGTCTTATTTGGAATGGCTATGCATGTCAAGCAGGATGAAACACGATGTATTATTTTGGAGCAGAGGGTAGCTAGAATGTTAAGCTGCCCCTGGAGAAAGTGGGCTTCCTCCCATAGGGAAAGCCGTAGACATGTGTAGGAGCTGGGGCCCCTCCCTGTGGAAATAAGAGATGGTAATAGGGTATTAATCAACTGTTGTAGATATGGGCACCCAGATCTAAATGAATGAAATGGTTCAGGTGTTGTAATGGTGTGAATGAGAAATGTCTCTCGTGGTCTCAGGCATTTGACCACTTGGTCCTTGGCTGGTAGAGCTGTGAGGGTTTAGGAGATGTGTCCAGGAGAAGAGGTATGTCACTGTGGGTGAGGCTTGGGAGCTTACAGTCCCAGCCTGCTTGGTTCTTGCTGTTGAAGGTGGGTGCTCTCAGCTTTCTCCTTCATCCACCATCTTGCTCTTGCTGCCATGCTCCCCCCATCATGAACTCTAACCCTCTAGAAACAGAAGCTCAAATAACCTTTTTCTTCCATAAGTTACTTGTAATGGTGCTTGATCACAGCAACAGAAAGTAAACAATAGAGTCCCAGAGAATGACTTTGTTCTTTAATTAAATGGAAAATATTTTTCAAAATTACCTCATGAGGGGGGAATGCTGCTATGTACGAACCATTATTTATAAGCTTACGGATACCTAGAAAGAGAACAAAATTCTGAGTCAATTTCAATGAAGGATTTTCTTTAAAGCATATATAAAAGCACATGGAACAAAAAACTTATTTATTTTATTTTTATTAATTACACTTTATTCATTTTTTATCCCAGCTGTAACCCACTTCCTGCATCCCCTCCCAATCCCATCCTCCTTCCCTCTTCTTCTCCTATGCCCCTCCCCCCAGTCCAATGATAGAGGAGGTCCTCCTCCCCTTCCATCTGTCCCTAGCCTATCAGGTCTCATCAGGACTGGCTTCTTTGTCTTCCTCTGTGGACTGGTAAAGCTGCTCACCACTCAGGTGGAGGTGATCAAAGAGCCAGCCCATGAATTCATCTCAGGTCCCTGTTCCTATTATTGGGGAACCCTCTTGGAAACTGAGCTGCCACGGGCTACTTCTGTGCAGGGGTTCTAAGTTATCTCCATGCATGGTCCTTGGTTGGAGTATCAGTCTCAGAAAAGACCCCTGTTCCCAGATTTTTTGGTTCTGTTGCTGTCCTTGTGAAACTCCTGTTCCCTCCAGGTCTTTCTATTTTCCCCTTCTTTCCTAAGATTCTCTGCACTCTGCAAAAAGTATGGCTATGAATCTCAGAATATGTTTTGAGTCTTTCAGAAGCCCTCTGTGGAGGACCCTGATAAGATGCTCAATCTTCATTCAGAAAGGCAAACGAGATGGACATCAGAAGGGGGAGAAAACAGGGAACAGGACAAAAAGTTATTTTAAGACTTAAAGTAATTCAAATGACCTCCATCGCCAGATCAACCACAGTGGCAGTGATTCTGAAAAAAAGGGAGGTATTCAGCCTAGATGTATTCTTGCCGCATTCACAAGACACAAGTATTCATTCTGGAATATCTCAATATGATCTGTTAATTTCCACTTGTTGGGAGCACATGTACCAATAAAAACTTTTCAGCCTCTTCTGAATCCCACAAGTTTAGTCACAGAATCCTTTGTTCCCAACACTTGACAGGAAAGATTGCTGCACTTAGAAACGTTAGTTTGTGCTAAGTGGAAAGGACATAAAATGTCGTAGTCAGACTTGACATCAGTGAAGGTGCCTATAGGAGGTTTTCTGTTGAGAATGAGCACTGAGAAAACGTTCTAAAGAGGAACTTTTATGCATGACAGAAATATTTGTACACCTGAAATATGATATCCTTTATCGTAGGGTAAGCACAATTCCATTAGATGCTCAGTAAATAGAATTTAATGAGTGCTTATCAGAGAGTGTTGCACAGGAATTTGCCACAGTATTTTTGTGTACTAGGTAAGGACTTGCAAAAGTACTTTGTAAGTTTTTTTAAGCAATAAATAAATAAATACATAAAAACACACACTTATATTTTGAAACAATATATTTTAGCTTTTTCTATAAATTTGTCGCTGAAAATAAGGAATCATTTTTATTTTAGCTCTTCTGTGTTTAACATTTTCCAGAAAGGATGTATATGATACCTTTATAATATTTTGAAACGTCATTTAAACCTATAACCACAAGTTTCCACAAGGTAAGGAAAAGTTTCCACTCATATTATGGTTTCAATTGTTTCTTCAGAAATTTTCTCATTGTTTTGAGTAAAGTTTTAGCATCCAAGATAACTGTTTTGATTGTTCAGCCACAAATGAGTTGTTAATCAGAAAAAAAAAAACCAAAAACACTAGACCCTGAAGATTCTTCCATACACAGTAAACATGAAATGTTATTCCTTTTACCTGTGTAGTTCTCCATCATAGCACAATCAGGAAAGCATGATGATCATTTCCCCAGGTTGTAAGTTTTTGATTAAAAAGACTTTAGAACGTTTGGCTAACATTGTTTTCCTCAATGTTGCAAGTCAGCCTCACAATAAAAAGTTAACTTATGTATTAGCTTTGTTTTATTCTCAATTCTGTGGAAGGTTTGCAATCTTGTTCTAGTTACAAATCTTCCAGTTTTCTTTTTTACTATATATGTACTAAACAGCTAACCCTATTAAATGACACAAAATTTAGTAAGTTAAAAAAAAGTGGTAATTTAATATTTCATATATAAGCTTTCATATGTTTCTTATGTACTCTTCTAGACTTTCATTTATTTCCTTATTTCTATGTATTAATAGTTTTGTAATTTGCTCATCTTTACCCACTGAATTGTGAAGGTCTTTCAAATCCAATAATGAGCTAGAAACCATTTTAACAGCTGAGTTGAAAAACCTGTATCATTAACTGTTTATCATGCAGGACAAAAGAAGTTAATTATATAAGTATATATTAACAGATAGAGGTTCTTAAAATTGTACTGATAAAGATAAAATACATAACTTTTAATGGGCTCTAGTATCAAAAATTGTGGGTGTAGCATATTTGGTGTTTCTAATTTTATATTATAAAGCCATGCTGAACCCTTTCTATGCATATTTTCATTACAAATCTATTTTTTAGATAAATTTTGTTAAGTATATGTATAGTTTACTTTTGATGTACGGGCCAAATGCCCTTAAAATATTTTTAATGAAAGTTAGCAACAAAAAATATTTATAGAATTTTTTCTAATATGTTAAGCATATCATACTTAATGAGCAAAGGTAAAAAAAACTTCAATTATTATGTATAGAACTTTTTTCTATGTTTAACTATGCCTGTAAAATAATGTTCTTACCCACTTTTGATATCCCATTTTCATATTTCGTGCGCTCCAGCATGTGGTAAACTATCCTGCTTCGAGTAGCATTGCTGAAGAAGGTGTCCTTATTGTTTATAATAAAGCTGTTAAGACAATGGGTATGGTTTAAAAATTTAGAGCAGAATACAAAATATAGTCATAAACATGAATTTCAGGGTATCCACCCATTTATCTATATAATAAAAGGCAATGTATATAAGATATTCTAGGATGAGTAAGGTTATCCTTTTTAACAACATCAACTGACAGATTAAAAATGCCTATAGAAAATACAGATAATTGTCAAATATTCATTCTAGCATTTTCTTTCAGTTTGTAAGGAGGTCTTGTTATTCCTGTTTATCTTGTTTATCATAGATTAAGGAGAAAATCTGTCATTTACTGGGTAGTGTTTGTACCACTTCAAGCAATGTAGCTCTAAACAGATCACATTAAAATTTGGTATCATCCTCACTGCAGCATTTTCCACTCTAGCTTACCCAGTTTTCAGAGTTTAGTGATACCTGCAGTTCTCATTTTCCCTAAAATGTCCCTGTGTGGGAAGAGTAGCAAGGGGCCTTGTGAGCACGGATGCTACAAACAGCAAACAGGGGATTTCAGGATGAGAGGATGGATCTGTTTAATAATGTCTTGGGAGTCTCCAAGCAATAGAGTGACCTGGATTGTAACACTCTGATTCTAGGCACTTTAGTTCTCTGAAAGATGAACCATGTCTTTGCCAAAAAGTCTCTGCATTTGTGCTGTGTGTCCCCTCCCCTGTAATTGGAGTCACTGGCAGTTGTGAGCCTCCACGTGTGTGCTGGAAATTCTTCGGTGAAAGCGTCAGGTGGTTTTTACTGTTGAGCCATCTCTACATCCCACATAGTTATTACTTCTGAAGAATATCTAGGTTACCAGCTTATATATTAATATTTAATTATTATGTGCCCATATCTGAGACATGAAATTAATATAGACTCAAATGTCCACTTAGTGATGTTCCTAAGTTAAATATAAACTCTAACACAATTGTATGACCTATTTGGTGACCAATGGGACTGCCCCAGTTATTTATCCTCTATAAGCAACCTCAAGAAGATGAAAAGTACAAAGCCAGAACATAAATGAAATGAAAAGAGGTGAGCACTCACTGGTGAATCCTGGCTCTGCTGAAAGGGCCAGTGTAACAGGCTGACTCTTCCAGCTCTGGAAATGCGGACTTGTCAAGAACCATTGGGTTTTGGGACATCCACTTTTTGATTCTTTTGAAATAGTTTTGTACCCTGGAATGAAGTCAAATTTTAGAACTAGATAAGTGTTTTTTTGTTTTGTTTTGTTTTGTTTTTCCCAGAGCAATGTTAAGTTTCTGTGACAGTTTTCTTAAATATTAGGGGAAAAAAAGATTCTAGATGACAGATGCATAGCACACACACACATGCACAAGCAAACATGCCACATACATACACACACCACACACATGTACACACTCATGCATACATACATACATACAAATACATATATATATACATACACAAATACATAAATTCACACATCACACACATAAACATGTATATTTGTATATACACATAACACACTTGCATATGTACACATGTAAACATGTATACACACACCTGTACACAGATACACACAGATATACACAAACACATGCAACCCACACACACCACACATGTGCCCATACATACACATACACACACGTCTACACACATACACACATGTAAACACATACATTATACACATGCATACACCTACGCCACATACACGCTACACACACATACACAGGCACACACACTTCTGTTTTCTCACAGAAGAGGTAAGTAGTAAAACAAATCCTGCATATGTTTGAACTCTCAGAGGAATAATACTTCTGTAGAAAATATTTTGAATGACCTTACATATAGGTGGAGATTTGAAAAAGCATTTTAAAAAGGTAGTATGATAAACTTCTTAAAGATGTGTATATGTGTGCATTTGTGAACATGTGCTACTCTCTGATTCTTTATAAAAGTGTGAATTGGCAAGTAAATGACTATTACATATATATATATATATATATATGTTAATTGGAATCATTTTCATCATTTTCCTTTTACAGAGTGAAAAATAAATCAAAACAAAAGGCTGACCTCCAGTGTTTATTCTGAAAAATCTAAATTCTGTTACTATAACAACAGCTGTTTGCATTTAAAAATACCCTTCAGTGTTTCCACAGTGATAATGGTGCATGCTGGGGAGTTTTGCTATCTACCGCAACAGGGAAGTCAGAGTAGGAGGACAGAATGTCTCTAGATGTAAATATAATGTATCTTTTTAAAAAATAGAATGTATCTTAACTTGAGCTTTGTCAGTTCTTTGAACTTAAAAAATATTAAAATCAAAAAGGGCAGGCAGCAAAGGCTGTGTCTTAATTAATTCAAGCAATTCTAATATGTAAAATCACAGTAAGGAGTTTTAAATAAGAATTAGTTCCTGCCAAAAAGCTTCGGATGTAAAATCTTGATGATTTCTTACCAAGTTGGACCATCACTGGGATGCCCATCATGTTCAATTTGGAGGGACCACAACGCTTATTTTAAACCTAAGCTAACAAGGCGTTTCTGAGGTGATTCTCATGGTAAAGAAAGCCTCTGGGTTAATAAAATATGATCGTATCTTAAGGTCAACGCAAAGACCTGTGGAAACACTAGAGTACAGGTCAATTTCTCTAGCTTTTTAAAATCCAGCCTTGCTCTTCAAAGGGAATGGAATGAGCATATTACATGACTGAGGAGCGCTTTATTTGTCAGCTTCTGAAACTAGACAATCCTGAGCTCATGTCTTCAGCTGTAAAGAGAAACGATCCCATTTATCCTACATCAGCAAAGGGTCACAAGGAACAACCCCAAGGACCCTTGACTAGCACAGATGAACTGCAGCACGTAACGGCCCATGATCTCCGGCTGAGTGGATGTGTAACGTTTATAGAAGGACCTTCAACCGCCACCTTTCATTGTTAACAGAAAATAAGCAAACACCATTACCTACTTAGACCTCCGCAAATATGAGAATGGAAAAATTGTCTCAGACGATGAAAAAACATTGACCCTGGATTTGAAACCAGATTTTTAGAGCCTAATTAATTTATTTCCTTGTTCTTTGTTTAGTTTTTCCATTATTAGGTAATGTAGTACATGTTCAAATAGTCAAGGTAATAGGTGAGAAATTAGTGTTGTGCCACTGTTTATATTGTTCCAAACGGTCACACCAACACAACTTATATTATCAAGACCCATATGTGTTTATTGTGCTGGATATCTTTGTAATGCTGGGTTTTCAGGTAAAACATGAAAAATGCTTCTAACATAGTTTCACTCTTTTACTAAAAACTAGGGGAGGGGAAGGAGGAAGACTTCATAAATTACAAATACAGATCAAAGGGCTCACAGGATCTGACTAAAGCGCGAACTGCCTCGACATCTGGGAAAGCTCTGGCTGAGACTGCCTTGGGGAACTGCCTTGGAGAATCTGATATTTTCTCCCGTCTGCAACACCGGCTACTTTGTGTTCTGTCTTCCTTGCAGGATACTTTCATGATGCCTTAATATCCGAACATGAAAAAATGCTTTGTAAATGAAATTAAATTTCAATTAAAAGGTAATTATGACACATTATTTATTTTTTTCTAAAGGTGCCTAGAGATATGTTGATCTTTAGAAGCAAGGTAAATACCCAGCCATTATTTATCCCTTAGTGTTTACTGGCCAGAGTTAACCATATACAAACAGGTTTTTTTTTTTTTAATTACAAAACTATCCCTTGCATAGCACTATATCTTGGAGATACTCTGTATTGTCCATAAAAAAAATAGTAAAATAAAAATTATTTCACTTTATTTGTGGCAAGACATGTTAAAATTGTTTCAAGAAATCAGCACAATTTTCTTTCTAAAATTTATAACTGAAAAAATGTGTAATCAAATGTGTTGTTCTTTATGTTTTTGTAAATTGCAAATTGGTAATAAAAATATGTATCGTTCACCGACCTGCTCATTGATTTGTTTTTCTGGTCTGTGTAGTAACATTTTTTCCTAAAAAGAAAGAAAATAATTTGAGGAAAATAGGCAAGAAAGTGACAGTATTCAACAATATTAAGTATATGGACACTCCACTTTTATATACTTAGTAAATTAAGAAGATATTTGAAATTAAGACTTTACATTATAACACAAAGGCCAATAAATGTATATGTCTTTAGTTTCAGAAGTTTAATGACAATTCATCATATATATATATGTGTGTGTGTGTGAAATAAAAAGCCCTCTAAAATGCCTTGATTATTTTGAATACATTGTTGTTGATTATCTTAAAGTCTGTCTTCTGTAACTGTACATAATAAAAGCATTATTTACTTCTGTGTTACATAAAGTTATCAGTCCAATCTATCCATCCATCTTCTAAAAGCAAATGTAAATTTTCCTATGTTGTTTTCCTGTTGCCATGATAAAACAAATAGTAACTTGGGGGGAAAAGGTTCATTTCATCTTACACTTCCATGTAATATTTCATCACCGAGGAAAACTGGGTCAAGAACTCAAGGAAGGAAACTACAGATAGGAACGAAAGCAGAGGCCAAAGAAGTCACTGCTTACTGGCTTGCTTCCTATGGCTTGCTGCTCTCTTATACAAATCTAAACCACCTACTCACAAATGATACTGCCTACTTTGGGCTCAGCCCTCCCACATCTGCCAGTCATTAAGCAATACAGACATGCTCACAGGCTAATCTGGTAGATTTGCAGTAGACAACTATGAATACAGAGCTCAGGGCAGCACATGGTGCTGAGAACAAGTGTTCAAGCCTGAACAGGACATTTATACCACCTTTTCTAGGGTTCAGGGAGCATCATGAAAAAAGAGGCATGAAGAATGTTAAGAATCAGCTGGTGGAGGGAAAGGCTGTGAAATGCTATCTTCTGGGCCTGGTGTACTCATTGAAATCCTGAATGTACCTATTGTTGCCTGAATAAGTCTTCCTAAGACTAGATCTGTCAACATCCACTCATGGATAGGACGATTCATGGGGCCCAACTGGGGAACTATTGGCTATTGATTGATGCCAGAAGAGAAGTCATTGTCTCCAGGTATGCACCTACTGGTGAGCCCTCAGTGAGATAGTTTTATATCTGTGGCCATGTGCACAGGCCTAGTTGAGTTCAGTAGCCCACAACACAAAACAAAACGTCCTAAGTGTGGGAAAGAGATTTGTAAAGAGGAAGTGTAACATCTCGGTTTCAGGTAAAAAGGTTAGCTTATATTGTAAATAATTTACTCTATAGCCTCTTTTTTCTTAATTTTTTAATTAATTAATTCAATTTACTTCTTGGTCATAGGCCCCTCCTTCCTCTACTCCCAGTCCCACCCTCCCTCCAATACCCCCTCTGTCTTATTCTTCAGAATAGGGGAGTCCCCCACCCATCCAGATACTGAAATTCAGGAATTTGATATTTTGGACCTTCCAAAATGTCCCTCTATCTTTACCATTAAAACCTCAGAGGCTCAGTTAGCCCCATGGTGACATAATTAGTAATTAGACATCAGTTATGATGGAGTCATGAATGTTCTAGAAATTCTCTGTGATGCCACGTTTAATTCCAGTCACAGGTTGTGACATTCCATCTCACCTGTCAACTTGACAGGATCTGGAGTCAACTCAGGCAGCCTCTGTGCACTCCTGGGAGGAGGTTCCTTTATCAGGTTGCTGGACCTGGCCAGACCCACTGTAAATGTAGGTGACCCTTTGGCTGGCAGCACAAGCAAAGCAGGAGGAAGAAGCTTTGCTTTTGCCTGTCTGCCTTCGCCTCATGGCTGCCAAGTTCATCTTTGCAATTAATACTGCTGCTGCTATCCTCTACCAATGTCAGATCATAGCTTCTTCAGGCTGCCAACATGCACTGAAGACCAGCTGTTCTCCAGGAATCTTCTAGCCTTAAGGATCAGACTGGGACTGCTATGTTCCCTTGCCCTGTGGGTCAATTGTCTGCCAGGTTTCCAGCCTCTTCAGTGTGAAGCAGTCATTTATTCGACTGTCCATACTGTATCATGGAAGTCAATTTAGTAAATACCCTTTACATATATTCAGTAACTGGGTTTGTTTTATCTAGAGTGAAACACAGGCCATAGTCGTTGGAAAGACTTAAAATGTTCTTGCCATATTCCAATACTAAATTCAGATAGAAAATTTTGAGACTTCCTTTGCATACACTAAATTTACATTTTAAATATTTTTTCAAACAGAAGAGTTTACATGCATATATTAGTACTGATTTGAAATTTGCAGGCTTTTCTTTTTCTATTTCAAATGAAACACTTTATTTACATTTCTTTATTATCTGTCTGCCTGCCTGTATCTATCTATCTATCTATCTATCTATCTATCTATCTATCTATCTAT